TTTTTTTTTTACTCTAAGTAATTAAATTTTCATACTTTAAGAGCTTACAAGAAATCGTTTTACCTATTTAGCCATTATTGTCTTACAACAACGACTGTGCATTTAACATATAACATCCTATATAAGTTTATTCTATTTTTCAAGAAACAATAGTTAATTAAATTAAAGTGATGACATTAAAATAATGTATATAAATATATTTTTATCAACGATTACATATGATATTCGTGTTTAAATATAGATAATCAGAAATAATTTCGAATATTTTTCTAATAATAAATTAGCGAGAGAAAAATGAAAACAGGTGTCTATAGATGAATGACGAAATAATTTTATGTGAATATGTTCACGTCATATGTACTTAATTACTTACCACAGCATTCTCATCAAAAGGCTCAGCTTTGAAGTTTGTTAAATTTACATCGAGAGTACCTCCCTTATAGAAACCAAAGGTACTAAGAGAAATATATCGCCTTACATCTTTCTGTAACATACAACATTCATAAACACATACATATAAGCGTAGAAAAGTTCCGTAACCTACAACTAAGGAACGAGAAAAGAAATTCTTTTCAGAAATGATAGTTTGTACAATCATTATCTAACTATGATTGATATATAATTTAATTTTTTATTAGATCTTTGTAGAAATTTTTTATATTGTTTAATATACTTGAGACGTTTAGATAGCTATAATTTTAAAATGTAAATGTCGATATAATATTACAATATAATGTTCGTTTACATAATTTATCACTTTTTTGCAACTTAAAATTTATCGTGTTATATGTAAAAACTATATAACGCATTTAATTTTATGACCGGTTAAATAACGATTGACGTAACAAAAGAATTCTAATAAACTAATTGGTAAATATACTCGCGTTATTGCTGAAGATTGCTTGTACTAACCCGTATTTCAAGTTTGTGAATTCTACCCGTTACTAATACGAATATTGTCATAGTCCAAAGACATTGTATCACTAATCGTTTCGATTGCATTTTTATTATTTTTCACCAGAGAAATGTCACATCACGAAAATACAAAATAATCATATCTACAACACTCAACCTTCACTCATCGATACATGAGCAGAAACTGAGCTTGAACAGCAGGAATATGATATTTGATGGACGGAACGTACGAATTGAACTAGGCGCAATTTTTAAAAGTTTCATTATTAGCAATTATTGGTTTATTGTCATTGTAATAAATATAATGTATATACGTCGTTTATATTATAAAAATTCAAGTGTTCATTGAAATTCAAATAGCAATACAATATAAAATAAAAATTTGCCAAAAATTATAATTTATATAATTTGTTTTTAAAATAATTATTAATAATTAAAATTACAATTATAGATAATCATATTTAAAACATAATATATGATTATCATCAATCTTCTTATGTTTATTTAAACAGAATATTTTGAATTGTAACGGTGACTTTATATGGATAGTGTTTACTTATTTTTAATTGGAATTAAATTTTATTGTTTTAATGTTATTAGACTAGAAATTTATAAGAATATAACATTATTTTAGTAAATTGTTTAAAACATATAATCTAAAATACAAACTAAATATATGCAGAAATAAAAAAAAACAAAACATATTATTGGGGTTATGTTACATTTGTCGATTTCATTGTATTATTTGAGTTTTATTATTTATATATAACTATTGATATGGAAAAACATTTTGCAGCATTAAAATTATTCGATTCAGATTCTGATAAAATATTAACAGAAGCACTTAATTATTCTGAAACGCCATCTTCCTCTCGAATTTGTTTAAATCAAATTTATCGGTCTAAAAGTCAGTCTAACTTGGTTAGACAATATAGTTATGAACAAATTTCTAATGAAAATATAACTTCAAAGTAAGAACTATTGTGTACAGGTAACAAAATGACATAAGTAATTAATATTTTTTTTTATTTCAGACAAATAAAATTACCAGAATTTGCGCAAACTGGCAATAGAACTATTAATTATCAAACAACGGAATTTTATTATAGCCCGAATAAATCTCTTAATAGACAGTTTTCCAAAAGTAGTAATATATTACAAGCACCAAAATTTGTTTTAAACAAAACATCAAATGAAATATCCTCTAGTACAAATAATATAAATGAATCAAAGTCTTTGTTATATTGTCCTATAAAAAATACAATAACAAATGTGACAGATACAAAAAATGAAGTTGAAGACTTATCATCTGCAAAAATAAATAATTGTGAAGAAGTACATACTATATCAGAAGTAAAAGATGTTACAAAAATTATAGACGAAAAGACGTATCAAAATATAAAAAAGAAGTTTAGACCATTAGTAATCAAGAATAAAATTGCTCAAAAAAAAAAGACAAATATGTGTTATTATAGTTGTTTAACTTTAGGTATATTACCAGTAATTGCAATCATATTTGCATTACTGTTAGATTTAAATCTACCCACATTTTGTGATCGTGCTATGATTTTTTCAAATGCTAGTCAAGAATTACAACAAAAAATACATGGACAGGAAAATGCAATTTCACAAATTATTAATCATTTAAATCAAGATTTCTTTTATTTGAAAGTTTTATGTCTCGTAGGTGGAACAGGAGTTGGAAAATCTTATACTGTCGATACAATAGCAAAACATTTTCCTTTTAGAAAAGCAATTCATACATATAATGCACTGTTAGATTATTCTATGGATATGAACATGTTAAATTCATTACCTTCATATCAATTATTTATTATGGAAAATTTAAAAATAAAAGATTTGGATATCTTTTCTAATATACTAGACATGCTAAGTCAAAAAAGAGATAAATGTATTACAATAATAGCAATTTTTAATGTAGAAGAAATAAATGATAACTTAGAAAGGAAAATAGATTTAATACAAAGTACAAGTAAAATTCAAGAAATACTGATTAGGAAAAAAATTGATAGTTTAATTGTTCCTTATCAACCTTTGAGTGAAGAAACATTACAGACTTGTATAATAGAAGCAGCAGCTGCTAGTGATTTAACACTTACATTGAATCAAATAAATGAAATTAAAGAAAGCTTATTACAGTTTGGCAGTGGCTGCAAAGGAGTCTATGCTAAAGTACAAATTATTGATAAACATTAAAGGTCAGTTATTTTGAAATATACATTTTCTTTTCTCTAAAAAAAAAAAAAAAAAGAAAATGTTCAAGATTAAAATCTATAAATTTTGCTCAAGATAATCAATATTTTGCATTAATAGAAGAAATATATTTGTATGTTTTATAAGTTTCTATAATATAATATTGCTGTCATTTATAAACTAATTATTGAATATCAATTAAATGTAATTAGGTAATATATCTTTATATAAATATCTCTCTTATATATTATTTCATATGTTATCACTTTTATATCAATTAAACAGTACATAATACTGATATAGAATTATAAATTTTGATTATTTTAAATTTAAAGAAGAAATACTCTATTAATATAAATTACATAAAAAGTAATTATATTATTTTTTTTACATTAAACATGAATTAATATATGTAAATTCAAGATTTTATTTCTTGTAATTTTGAAAGAAAATGTACTTTTTTATCAGAATAAATAGAATGAAATATATTTAAAGTAATTTAGTTTTTTTTTTCAATGAAAAAATAAATAAATATTTTAAATTTACCATATGATTCTTATAGTGATATTGCTAATCATAAAAATTAATTTTTTCTTGAAAAAAAATATCGATTACTATATTTCATCGATAAAATAATAATTATAAGATTCCATTCAATAGATTCTATTTCCAATTCACCCTTAATATAAGTTACAAGCTATTGTCAATGTGAATCTATACATACCAAATATATATATACTTACGTAATTCTAACATTCGACCCATAGATTTACATAAAAAAATATATAGATTATGGAATATTGATTTTTCTAATAGATCTTTATAAACAGTCGAGGTACTAATTTGATATAATTTACTATATTCATGTAACAAATCTTTAATTAAATCATTATCATAAAATCAGATTAGTAAAGTATCTATGATTCTATGTTTCTTGTTTTTATTCTTTTACATATAAAAACAACGATTGCTTCGAAAAATGAAGCAAAAATCGACAATTGATGTCATAATGATATGCAGATATTAATGAGAATGACATCTTTATTAAAATAGTGAATAATTTCTTATATTTTTATTGCAAATCCATATCAAATATTCATAATAATATTAATTTTTTTGTTATATTTTTTTTCAGGATTGTAATTCAAATCAATATAAATTTAATATTTGCTTATACATAAATATATTTTAATTATATTTTAATGTATAATTATATTATTGCTTTTTTGATATATATTATGAAGTTTTTCATTAATATTTATTTCTATTCGATACGATTTATTTTTTTGAAAAAATTCAACAGTACATTTACATTTTTTTTTTTTATCAGTTATAAGATTATATTGACTATATCATGGATATAATAAAATCTCCGATTTTTCTCAAGATTAATATTTCAATTCATGTGACACAATATTCCATAAAAAGTTATATCTACATTGTATCTTGTCTTTCAGAACATAATTGTGGGGATACAGTACACTTTTCACTTTCTGATGGCAAATGTTTGAATCATTGCGTGTCAAAGCTTAGTAAGAAAACACCACCGAAGCAACTGTTACGTACTATTTATGTCAGTATAATCATTATTGTTATGCAAAACCATAACAATCTAATTCGTAATTGTATCAATATATATTCTTTGTTTTTCCTTTTTACTTTAAAAATGCTTATTCTTTAATAAATGATACTTCTGTTTTCATTACACTTTCTTTCATTCGATTCTTAAAAACTTTTTTAAGAATTAGTGCAAAGCATTTCAATAATGTTTCTTTTGAATTATGATTAAATGTGCATATAACATTCATCATAATTGATATTTATTAATATTTAAAGCTGATACGTTAATAATTAAAAATTTCTAAATTTCTGGTATAATAATAATAACATTTTCTAATAAAAAAAAAAAAAATATAATTTCCTGTTACGTATAATGATGATGTAAGATAGAAACAGTTACGTGAAATTATATAGTGATGATTAGAAAATAAGATTACGATATTTATGATTATGCGATTATACAATTTTTGGAAACAGTAAAAGAAAAAAAAAAATAAATTTACTATTAATCAATTACTTCGTCTAGTGATTCGTTTACTTTAAATTTTGACACAAGACATTTAACAATTAATTTGGATACTTTCATTACTGAACAAAACTACAATTTTCGGAAGTTTTGCAAGACTTTTACAAAAGAAAAAGAAAGGGTCGTTACGAAATTAACCACTATCGTGCATCGTTTAAGCGAACGACGATGCTTGTCTACTTACATCTATAAAAGACGAGCAATTAGATGAACTATGATATTCAGTATTTATGCTTCATTGCAAAAACACAGGACAGTTTACTCGCGTTTATTTACAGAAATAAAAGACGAAATTATCGATTAACTTAAAGAAGAAAAGTATACGAAAAAAGGATCAATTTGTCCCTGAACGTATATTTATTTCTTTGTTCTGTATGTGGCGGCATAAGCCACCACAAGGGTATCGAAGGCGGAGCTACAAGAAAGGTGTAACTGGAAATTATAAAAGAGCGGTCAGTAGTCAAGAGGAGGCAGTCTCCTTCAAGTGTTCACCTGCGCGACTACGAATCGGGTACGTTATATTTCTTTAATTTTATTAGTCTATAATAAATTTTTAATCGAAGCAATATTTTTTTTTTCCATTAAAAATCAAATTCTAAAAAAATTCTCAAAAATCGAACGATTTATTTATACACTCAAAAACAAAAATCTTCAAAAAATTGCTTTAAGTGTATTATTAACGTGTCAAAGATTTTAATATGATTTATCTTCTTTTTTTAAATTAGTTTATTTTAATTTTGATTCATAAAAATTCGCAAAATTGCCTTTTTTTAAAATTAATTTCTCCTGATATCTTATAATATCTTTCTTACGTTATAAAGTACTCGTATAATAATTATTTGCATGATAATTCATTCAACGCGTATCAAATTTTAATCACGTCGCGTGATGAAGCAGTTCAATCGTTTTTCTCAATGTACTTACTTCGTCAAACCGATGTCGCAGGAATTTCAAGTGCCAATTTGTATGCCGACCTTGTTTTAGGAGGTCAGAAATTCTAGAGGCCAAGGATACGGGAACAAATTAGTAACATTGAATCTGTAGAATAAGCACATATTAAAATGCAATATTTTCAAAGTCATCGAATCAATGATATTTTATTTACTTCGATAATTAATGGATTACGTGATTATATAATGTATTCCCACGTTTTCAAAAATCTTCTGTTCTAGAAATTTATTATTATTTGGAAAAAATTTATCAAAAAATACCTATTTACTCTGATGATCTTCCATTTTATTGATTTTAAAATATAATAGATCGAAAAATCGATCGCAATGTTAAAAGAAAAAGCAATTCAGTCGATCTGTTTGACATAATGCTTTCTGCGTATGGGGTGAATGGCTTTCAGTATCAGAGAACTTCAATAGTAATAATACGATAAGTAGTACTTTCTATGCGGAAGTGGTTTATTTCTCTGGTTACTCGATTATTACTATTAGTATTACGCTCATTATAATGTACAAAAAAATCTTTTGCACAAAATTGAGACTCGAATTCGAATAAATATAAATAAATAAAATCGTATCGATGTAATGTATAACAAAAAAAAAAAAAGGAAGAAAATTATTAAATATTCATCTAAAGTGCTTTTTCCCTTCTTCATTTCATTTAACATTCCAAACTGTCGAATCAATGAGATAAAAATGTTAAAAATATTCCGTCTCGCTTCGATCCTGTATCGATTTTGACCAAGATCGCAAATTAAAAAAAAAAAAAAAAAAAAAAAAGAGAGATCGTTAGAAAACAATAAGAAGGCAAAATTGTCACTCGACATTAAGGACAAGTGAAACATCATCGAGCGAGTTGGTCGATCTCTTGGTACAAAATCGAGGAACAAAGATGGACGCGCAACTGGCCGATTACATAATCGGAGAAAGTGGTTGCGAAACTAGTCACTCACCACATGTTGCTATCACGGAACACGTAACACTTAGGTGGTATTCGTGGGTACTTGGTCGGGCATTATATCATAAAGAGACGAAATTGTTATGTCATGAAATCAACGTTAACATTACTATTGACTAAATCCTTACGAAATTACGGGAGAATGCATAAGCGATCTCACGTTACGCGATCAAAAGAAAGTGTGGTTACTCGTTTCGAAGCAAAACATTTCTTTCTACAGCTGTGTCGCGGTAAAA